TATTTACAGTACTATAACGTGTATGGAGTAAGTATGGAAGTGGTCGATTTGTAATCTCAGATTTTTGTTTAATACAAAAAAGAAAAATAATGTGTAGGTTGTTGATCCTTGTTGATCATAGAGACATAAAGTAACTTTTTTTATAAGTGGAATATCCTGTATATTACATAATATTTAACTTCTTACTCGCCACATAATGTTTAGGTATGTAATAAAGTCGTGTCATTTGGAGTAACTCTAAAAGAAGATGAGTGAAGGTGTATTAATAAATAACTACTTTCTTTGCAAAATATTTTATAAGGTACTCAAATTGTACACCGTTTACCTCTTGATAGTAATGAATTTCGCGACTGAAATTTTCTGGAGAATATAAAATGGTGTTGGAAGGAATACTAGATAATTCGTGCCTTACTCTTGTAATTCTTCGATATTTTGCGCCCTATTTTTGCAGACTGAATTTTTTACTTGACTTCTTAGAAAAATATTCAATGCAATTTTACTTGTGCAATATCACTACTGGAAATTTAGAAACCAGATTTTTAGTTAGCACTATTCCATATTGTTTTCTCGGAAAAAGAATAGTTCTGGCAATATAGATGAGCTGCTGTGTTCCATAGGTATTAGCAACAAAAACAATTCCAATACATAAGGAGCTATGACTACACTATGAAGTATACAACTTGCTGTTGCTGTACAAAAAAATCCTTCGTTTGAGATTTCAAGTTTTACATTAGACTTAACAAACCTGGCTTATTGGATTTCCGAAATTATAAAAAAACAGATATAGAAATATTCACTATTAGCTCATAGTTCATTTTTCATGCAAAATTAAAATTATGCAGAATTTAATATGAAATAGAAACGAGGTGATATAGAATATGCTTCAGCTAATAATAGAACCGCTAATTGTAAACGTAGATTCTAACGTTCAGACAATTTTTCCACTAAAAAATAATATTAATATGTTAGCCACAAATACTAAAATTTTACAAGATAATTTAAATGACAAAATCTCAGTGAATGCAGAATATCCATTGAGGAAAAGAAATGGTATATTTTTTGTGTTTGCATATTGCATAGAAATTGCAGTACTGAATTAAGTATATACTCCAAAATCTGCACTTTCGTCCATTTACTTTGCCATTTAGGACAAAATAGCTTTCATTAAAAAAGATTTTAAGATTGCGTTAAAGTTTCATTATTTAAACAACTTATAACCAATGAAATCATCAACTTTATAATGTTGAAAACCAACAAATATGCTGCACAAAAATTATTATACGACTGGACTGATACTAGCAGCGTCGAAATGATAATGTTTATACATATAAATTTTGTTCATTATGAGAATCAATAAGCTACATTTACATAAATTACATATCGGATAGGCGGACCTACCAACCTTGCACTGCGACCTTAAGGATCTATTTCACCGAGCAGTCCAATGCTTTTAACGAATGTTCCAAAAATAATCTGCGATCCAAAAATCGAGAATCTGATACGATTAACAGCAGGAAGTGGCATAAAATATGCTCAACTCTCTCCTCGTCCTCCGCACATAGTCGGCATTCATTATCATCGGCTAGACCCTACAAGTTGAAGTATGTCTTTAACCGGCAGTGCTCAGTAAAGACAACCATTAGAACTTCAATGCTGCTACGAGCAAGTCTAAAATATACAGTCCAATCCTATATTTGGCCAACGCAAATGATACACCAACTGCTGGCTCTGGCCCCACAAACGTTTTAGCGCTACCCTCTCGTGCTAGCTCGTCTGCCGCTTCATTGCCAGCAACCCCAGAGTGACCTGGAACCCAGATCAAAGAAACTCTGTTATTACAAATCAGTGTGTTTAAAGTTCTTTTACAGTTATTAACCAGAGTCGATACCGTTTTTACGGTTTGCAGCACCTGAAGAGCGGCTTGACTGTCTGAGAAAAATCGTACTGTCATGTTCTTCATCCCTCTCTCAAGAAGGATTTAGCATCCATATCAATAGCAAATACTTCCGCCTGGAATAAAGTACAGTACGTACCCAGGCTGTAAGCTTGCTTAATCCGAGGTGTCTCGCAGTATACTCTTGCTCCGACCCCTTCCGGTGTTCTTGATCCATCTGTGAACATGCAAATATCTGCCTGAACCAGAGAATTTTCGTTTTCGATCCAGGAGGCAGCACAATCTGGTATCAAGCAGACTGGTATCATGCCAAATCTGACGGCATTGATAGCACAATATCAGTGCTTATAAGATTTTCCGCAGTCCATTGGTAGGACATGTTAGAACAGTTTTGAGCATATTGCTTAAATCTGTAAATGGTAGTTCTAGCCACTTTCTCTATATGCAAATGCAAAGGAGATAGGCCAAGCATATCAATAAGCTATCTCAGATGCGTTTGTATTAGTCTAATAATGATATGTAGTAATAATGAATGATACGTAACAGATTCGGTACGTTGTTCAAGTGCATACATATCGCCTACAACAATGATGTTTCCAATATTGTGGAAATGTATAGTCAACAATTTAGAAACATCCTTATTCCAGATGAGGAGATTGTCATTGATGAGACCATGGCGAGGTAAGCTCATATTCCGGCAAGATCCTCCAGCAAAGTTATATAAATATGAAGTCAATACCAATAAAGTATGCACGAATGAAAGTTATACGTGTAACTTAAAAATTCCCGGTGTAAAATCAATTCTGCCATTACCGGCCATACCTATAATATTGATATGGAGTTACTCAAAAACCTTAAGGATTGTGAAAGAGTTCTGTACGTTGATAATGATTACAATAGCGTAACACTGCGCAAAGATCTTTCGAATTGCAATATATCGATGCTGCCAAGCCAAAACGGTATGAACGACATTTACTTGTTTTTTCAGGAAACACAAAAAACTATCATCGCGTCGTGATGAAGTAGGCATTTGTGACTTGGCAGAGTCGGTATATGAACGTTGAGCACTAATCAAAGAGGAATTCCTAACGAAGTGTGTCAAAAGAAATTGAAGAGAGGAGAGGTTTTCGGTAAACTCTCAGATGGAACGAGAGTAATAAACTGACAAGATAAACGTCCAATAATAATGATAAGTTCTATAAACTAAAACTAGAACTAACACTAGCACTGTCACTAGAACTAACACTAGACTTAGAACTCAAAACTTTGCTAAAAAAAGTGTTTGACGTTTCGGATGCCATGTCATGTTACAACTTTCTTAAGAAACAAGGACTTCAAACTTGTCGAACGGTAGGTCACAACGTCATGAAAGTTTTTAAGAGTTCCTTCTTTCCAGAATATAATATGACTTTCAAAGGTAGATAATTTAATTTGAACACTGTTGTTTGATTTTTGCATTCTTGTTTCAAATTTTTCTTGTATTTAGCAATTAAAGGGACATTTTAGCACAGCTAAATGCGTTTAAATGACTGTACAGAGAAATGTGTATGTTAAAAAAAAATCAAGTTGAAAAATAATGCCACCCTAACGATCCATAAAGTCGAAAATTTTCAAAAAAACCTGAACACTGTCGTTGATAATAAGGTAGATATCTCAATACATCCCAGTGTCACTCTATATTCCTTAGAAAAATTTAATTGCAATTCGTTACTTTCAATACTTTTGACTATTATAGCACACAATACATACTAATATCGATCACTGACTCTGAATAGCTCCTAATACGCTTCAATGCCTCCCAATGATTCTCAATATAACCCTATATTTTTCACAGACTCGAAGATGACTCACAGCTGCGAAGCATTTCAAATATACACTTACAAATTTAATATAGGTTTACTTAAAACAGTAACACAACCAGTTTGTCTAAAATTACTCTCATGATAAATCTAACTAAGTCCTTTGTATGACACAAATTGCATACTACTTATTGCGTTTATTAATTCATTTCGGGTTCATCAATGTTAAAAGGATTAATATTTCGTTTGTTTATAGAAATGGTTTTCATCTTTCCACAAATCCAATACACTCATTCCTCACTCATCAATGCAGCTAATGTCTTTGTTTTGAAATCATTATCTAAAATATTTATAAAAATATCTATAATTACGCGAGAAGGTGCTACTTATCCATAAATAACTTCGTTACATTAAAAGTTCTTTAGATATAAATCGAAAATCTTTTAAATCGCACAATAAACATTTTCAATTAAAATCGTTTATAACTCGATACTTAAAGTAGATGGATTATTACGTTATTAAAAAGATCGTTCATAATGAACCATAAAAGCATTATTTATATACGGATTCATTTTAATAAAGATATTTTATTACTCTTTATGAATCAATAGGTATTATCATTACTTCCTAGAGTCTGAATATGAAAAGTCTAAAGTTGTCTCCGTCTTCGTTTCAATTAAGACTGTTACTACTTCGCTTGAAGTCTGAATTAATAGTTAAAAGTAAACAATTTAATAGTTCTCTAATATTTTTAAGTTCTTTTAAATTAATGTTTGATTTAATTGAATTCGAATATTAATGAAAATTAAAGGAGATATATAAAGATAAAACACTTTAATTATAAAGCACTTTAGTTATCACACCACCAAGCATTCCCAAGCTGAAATTTCATCGTATCGTAAAGTCACCTTGTTGTAAATGGATTCGATTTATCTAGGTTAATGTTACTTTTCCCTTTAACTTTTTGAGGTACAGAAATAGAGAAGTATTGAATTTCAAGTAGTATTTTTAAAAATTATCCTAAAATATCTCAAAGAGAGTTAAAAAAGATTCCAAATCAATTTCAATGTACGCAATATTTAAACTGCATATATGATTTATTTTTTTTTTTTAATGAGAAAAATCGACACAGTACCATTGACAAACAATGTTAATCCAATAAAATCCATCAAATTTGCGGATTTGTGACTAAATCGTTCATTATCTAAATCTGTTTTCACATAGATTACAAACTCGATCGAACGTTGTAACAGTAGCCCAGCCAGCCGGAGCTCTGGTGTTTAGTTAGCCTAGAAGCGAACAATTAATCGAACACGGTGTACTAAGTCTAAATATATCCTTCAGCAGAGATACCTTAGTACGAAAATAGACTTCTGGACCTGAATATCCGTTTTGTAACAAACCAATTGGCAGCACTGTTTGTATGTTTATTTCGTGTGGAATTACGATTCGTTTTAGTCTAGTACATTATGGGCGACAGAAAGTGTAGTACAACAGAAAAAGATGTTGAAAGACAACTGGATGAAGTCAGTTTGAAAATTAGCGAATCTCATATGTCTTTAGGAAAGGAAAAACCGAAAAGAATACGTAAGTGGTTAAATGATTTTCTTTAAAATCTGTCATGGATATTTAAAGACTATTTTAATGATGGTTAAAAAACCTGCCAAAAGTGTATATTATTATATATTGTTAAATTAAATTATACATGCACTATATTTTTTACAATAAAGGCTGCCAAATGATGATGGTTGTAAATTTATATATTATATGTGCTGCATTTGTTATGTTAAAATAGTGCGACTTTGACTTTAGAAATAGAAATTAAAAATAAAAATTACATTTTCTCTTGTTAATATTCTTATTGTTGTTTAATATTTTATTTTTAGCTAGTTTAAACGGATCTGAAATTTTGGTATATTTAGTCTTAGCTGCAATGTTTGTATTGGGATGGTACAGTTTAAACAGTTGCTCGATCAGCAGAATGATACCAATCTATCTGATTGTCGGAGGTAAACATTTATACAATTAGATCGGGTATTGTCAGCGCAATGTGCAATTTCAGGTGCTGTGGGTTTGCTAATCAAAGCTCTATTGGCTACCACTAATGTCTACTTGTTTAACATAATGGTTTCAACAATAGCATTTTACGTAGTATGGCACGTAACCGGAAGTTACTACGTTTTCAAAGAGTACCAACCGAATTATGATCCAACAATTGGGCCGTATTGCGACCGTATTCCGTATTTATTAGCATTTTGGGTTTTAATTATTCAATACGCCTTGTTCGGTTTATTCTTAGTATTAACATCTTGTGAATACTTGATGAAGAAAGAAATAAAAACGTAGCCGAATCTTTTTTTAACATTTTTTTGGGCGATACAATTCGTTCCACAAAATGGAAATTAGACATAAATTTCCAATAAGACGTAATCTTCTCTCGACGAGAAGCCCGTTTGTTTCCGGGCTTTGACGGTATTCGATCATCCGTCGTTACGATTCGCTGAATTCAATTCAAGACAATTGACCTGATGCTGTTGTGAGATATTCGAGTTTCAGGTCGAGAGGAATTAAATTTTAAGATAGTTTAATAGATTTTTTATATTATTTTCATTTATAAATTCAATAAATTTTTATCTTTATAAAGCTGTGTATCACTAAAACCTAGTCAGTCCTTTGTTATTAGACTAGAACTAATACTAGCATTAGAACTAACACTAGACCTAGAACTAGAAACATTCAGGTTTAGTCGTCTTAAGAAACGTACGGCTAAACCAGAATGGTTCTAGTTCTAGGTCTAATGTTCGTTCTAGTTTTAGTTCAATGAAAAATATAGAAAAATCTAACTCTGAATAACAACTAAAACTAGCATTAGAACTAGCATTAGAACTAGAAACATTCGAGTTTAGCCGTCTTACACGGTAAAAAATAACTAACTATATTTTAAATCTAACATGCTTCATTTTTCGAGTAAATATTTCAATCGGTTGTTAGAGCAAATTTTAGAGATTAAATGAATCTATGGTAAAGTGAATTATTAACTCTACGATGAATGAACACAGATTACATATTAAATCTCGGTAGAGTTGAAATTATAATCTATACAGATTTTACAATGCACTCGAAATTAGTGTTTGGTATATTGTTAATAGAATGCTATAATCTACGTAGATTTAGCAATATACTCAAAATTAGATTTAGGTATATTCTAAATAGAGTTATAAGAAAATAGACAGTGTTCACAAAATAGGTTTATTATTGTAAAAACTGAACAATCGAATAAATAATTGCATTTATGCTATCTTAAGATATACCAAGTCGCTATATTTAAGTAAGCATACTGAAATTATAAAACGAAATCATATGCAGGTGTCATTTTTAATGCAAAACACTGAAACTACTAACAAGAAAACTTAAACTAAAAAATAAATCCAGATTTTAATACCAAATAAAAATCAGCCTCTAATTGCGTTTGCGCTAAGTTTGCGCTAAGTCTTCTTTACTAGGAAATTGCACTTTGAATGCATTTATTTTCAACAACACGCCTTGTTGTCACATCAACACGTGTTCAAGCAAGAAAGGTTGTGAACTTGTTAGAGCTTTTCTGGATTTAGAGTAACTTTCAACACTGTTAAGAGTTAAATTTTAACTCTGGTATGTTTAACGTAAATCTACAAGAGGAAACTTTAATCTATTAGAGTATATTGAAAAAATTATCTCTAATAGAGTTTATCCATAAGTAGAGTAAATAATAGAATAAAATTTACTCTAAAAAAAAACACTCTAAAAAAACCAGAATGGTTCTAATTCTAGGTCTAGTGTTAATTCTAGTTTTAGTTGAATGAAAAATATACAACAATCTAACGTTGAATAACAACTAAAATTAGAACTAACACTAGCATTACTACTAACACTAGACCTAGAATTAGAAACATTCGGATTTAGCGGTGCGTCTCTTAAGATTTTTGTATTATTTTCATTTATAAATCCAATAAATGTTTACCCTTTATAAAACTGTGTATCACTAAAACCAAGTCCTGTATTATTTTTTGCCGTTAGATAGTTATTTTTTTACTACTACTATAAACTGATGCGATACGCGTGGAATTTAAAAAGCTCCGCGACATACACGGTCATTGATATTAAAAAAATATGGAATGTCATGACAAAAAAATGGAAACGCTGCGCTTGGTTTCAGTAAAAAAATGCGGGCTAGTACGCTGCGCAATCTGGCGACAGAAACTGGCAAAACACAAATACTGGGTTAGTCCGAGAGTCAGAGTTCGCGCTTTTCGTTCCATTATAAAACAATGTATCACGGGAACGTCAGCGACGAGTAAAGTTTTCTCATTTTTTTCAGTTTTAGGCGTTCGTCGCGCGAATAATTCTCTACCTCTCCAAAAACGATAGAGGAGGCACGGCTTTCGGTTTTCCGTTGTTGTTAACCCATTTTCGAGGAAGTCAATTTATCTTTTGTGTGTTTCATTAAAAGGCTACAAAGAGCGATTATGGGTCATCAATTATTTTCTGTCACCCCTTTTGGTATTTAGCCAAATCAGATAATACACAAACCTGCATTTACGATTTAACGAAATATAGATAATTATTTATTTAACAAGGAACGCAAAGTTTATCTTTAACAAGTTCAGAAGTTATTGCCGAGGCGATGTAATCTTCAAGTTGTTAAAGATAACTCGAGGCTGAAGTGTGTAATAGACTTATTTGCAAACGTAAGCGCTGACCCCAATTAATAATATGTATTTTAAGGTAGCGTTAAGCGATAATTAAGATAGCAAGTTTGTATCGATAAACAATCCATTCCCAATCTTTTATTCTAAAAATTCCTTATATTACTACCCGACGACCGTAATTGTTCATAGTTATCTTATTTCTATCATTCTTTTTTTCTACCGGTTTTCACTAAAATGCGTCATCTTCAGGAAAAATAGAAGTAACCTAGTAACTTGTGATTATAAAAATTGTTTAGGTTATTAAATTACTTTAACTACATGAAAAATAAAATTTAAAACTTACCTCAAGACCCGAGTGTAGTAAAAACATTTTTAAATTATGAAAACACACTTGAAAATTCAGTAACAACATTTTTAACTTTAAATGTATGCATGGTTATAACAACTCTTGAGCTGGCGCGAAAAAAAATGTATGTAGGTTATGTTTACCAATTTTACAACTTAACCAACTAAAATAAAGTTGGCAGCAATACATAAAAAATGTTTTTCCTATTTTAATATTTTTACGAATGCATCAAAAATTGTTTGATTTGGTTTAAGAGGTAAGAGTTAAAAAGTAGTTAGTTAAAAAAATCGGAAACGTAGAAATAGGGATGACACGGATAGGGGTGGGGTAAGCAAGAGATCTAAAACGTTGTAAGATCCTTTTGCGTCCGAATTTTATAGAGGAGGAAATATAAAACTTTTTTATAAAAGCATTATTTAAGATAATTGTAATTGATCATTAAAATACAAAGAAAATATGTTAAGAATGATTAAAAAATAAATATGTACTGATCTAATTTGAATTTTAAACCATTCTAAGAAGCAGTTTGCTGAACATGACGTATATTATCCGTCGAAATCGGTAGAAATAAAAAATAATAAATAAAATCAAGAATAACTGCAGAGAACTATCTTTTATGAACTAACTACGATGACAAAAGAAATTAATTATTGTGGGACGCTCAAATTGCTTTTATGGTATCTCTATTATTGTCATCTTAAGTTATTCAAAAACACATTGTGCCTGCTCCATACCATAATCCTTCAGTGTCCTCATATATATCATTTAAAATAGCCCAGCTCGCCTTCTTTTGGGATTTTTCATCTTTAAAGCATCATTAAGTCTCTTTTTATGACTTTACTTTTCATGTGTAACTTATAGGAAACTGTCACCCACATTCATCAAATGGTCGCAGAAGTTTATGGCAATCACTCCTTGTCCGAAAGAACTTGTCGTAAATGATTTCAAAATTGCAGATTTTGATGTTCAAAAATTGATTCACAAAGAATGTCGACAGGTTGAGCGTAACTCGACCCGCTTCACTACGCTTACATCGAATGGGCAAAATCCAGAAAGAATTAATATCGGTTCCAAATCAATCGACGGAATGGCATATGGAAAAGCGACATTTTATTAGAATGACAGAAAAGAAGGACTTTTTGTATTCTATAGTGTCCAGGACATCCACCGAAATCAACCGCAAAGCCAAACATTCACAGAAAGAGAGTTTTGTTGTGCATTTTTGGAACTTAGGTGAAACGGATACTGATATTCGTCAACAACAATTAGTGAAATTAAACAAAGAACTGCAAATAAAATGTCAAAATGGGTCAAAAGACAAGACAAAGTGATTTTGTTATATGCCAACGCGTGATTTTAGATTACAAAACCGATCATAGATACCATAAATGAGCTGAAATGATCACTTATATGATGATCACAGGTAACCACTTGTTTGGAGCACCAAACAAGCTTCACCACTTCACCAAGGCTTGTTGATTGAGCTTAATGATCAAACATTTTTCTTGCTTGAATACGTAATATAACGAGGTGTGCGCTATGACCCAAGAGTGGTCCAATATATTCCAGTATCTCTTCGTACATAACACAAAGAGTATGTCGTAGCAAAGCGCAGCATGACGAAGTTAGTTATTTGCGAGCAAGGAAAATTTACGGGAATCAAATTTAGTTGTTGATTTGAATATTCATTCTGTACGTGTGAAAATTTCAATATACATATAAGATGTGTTAGGATGTGCCCTACTGATATTAAAATTTTGTTATCATCAATTAACACACATCATTTAATTTTTACGACGCAACGTCGAAAGGCGAGAAAAAAATGTACTCGTATCTACCTTTCGTAATGAACAGCAACAAATCCGACAAATATTCGATCGGACGCGTTGCATAACTTTGCATCATGTGCAAATTATTGAAAATGAGTGTACATTTATGAATATAAGGTAGACACAATCAACAATTTAGTAATAACTGTGTTGCAGTTTTTCATTGTGTTTCTATCACGAGCTGAGTGGGCAACATAATCTATAATGTGCCCTAGAGATAAAATGGATAGTAATGCAAAAATTACGATTCCAGAGCATGAAAGCTATCCAATAAAAGAGACCCACTCATGAAAGAAATACAAATACCTAAATCACAGATTTAATGAGAAAATTATGCTTTCTATGTTTAATGAAAAACATCAATCAAGAATCAGAAATCAAACACCAGTATTATCATAGATTCTTCTGCATTTCTCTGAAATTTCGGTGGCTACAAATTGACACACCTTTAAAGAGTGAAGAATTCATTTTAAAGATTAAAAGGCCAACCCTAGGAGATGCTGCCAAAAGGACCACAGTTGCTAAGCTCATGGATTACAAAAAACGCGCCAAAAAGTTTTATATTACTTTAAAAGAACTTACTGAACAATGTAAAAACCAAGATAATTGACTTGTCCTCAACCTTTGACTTCATGCAAAATCTACATCTACCACATATTCATGTGCAAGATGTATTGTATAGAACACAGCTAACAATCAATGAATTTTGTATACACAATTTAAAGGATGACAGATCATACTTCTACTATATCTACCTTATATGACTTATATGTATTTATGACAGGGAAAGTCGATTGTTAGTAAGAGTC